AAGAACAGGTTCGCAAGAACCGGTGCGAACCGGCTGAATCCCACCACTGCCCCTACAACTTTCACAGTACATTAGTATTTTATAAAAGGTTTGGAGCAATATACCTAGCCATTTTTGTTGTAGGCTAGCAAGAGAATAATAAGAATAATAATTACAAATGTACCATTTTGAGCAAATTTTCTTTTCTTTGTAAGTCTAACATGCATGCTTTTATGTGCATTTTTATACGTGTGCAGCCTTAGCAGTCAATAGTAAAAGTTTTAAAGTGTTGTTTGAACTGGATCTCTATTGTTTAAGGTGCTTTTTGCCTGAAAGTTCAGTTAGGATTTTTTGCAATTTCTTGTGAACCCTATCGTGAAACACTACCGTCGTTCATGATAAGAGAGATGTTCATGTGAACAATCTCGTAATTGACAATCTATTTGACCAATTTATAGCTTGCCACATTTTTTACAGATCACACAAAATAGCAGACTTGTTGAAATGCATGTGAATGACTGTTGTATTTGGAATTTTCCATTGGGGCCATATATGAATGTTGTGGTGTTAACATATTGGCAGGTGGTGCATTTCTTTCTGAGACAATGAGATGTACCAGGGTTCATACTAGGGATAGATTTCTAGAAGATATTGTGAACTAAATTTATTTTTATATTATTATCCTGTCTATAATTGAAAATAGGACATTTTTGAAAAGGTTTGGAAGCTATAGGCTTATTAGTAAGGATATTGAGGTTTTGTTTGATGATCTAAGCAACTTTAGCGATAAGTGGTATTCGAGAGTTTGTAGACTTAGGTTTAAGTTTTAGAGTGTATTCTTGGGCTACAGAAGGTACATATTGGGTGGCTTTTTCTGTAAAAGGTTTAGAGTAGGAGCAACTGATAAAGAAATGTCTCATATCTAAAGATTTTGATTCATAATTGATTTGTTCACTGCAGAGTCTGTGCAGCCTTAGTAATTGAGAATATGGAAGTGACTGAAGTGTATGATGTGAATGCAAAGAGTTGTAGCAGAGGTAAGAATGAGAACTGCTGGGTTTGTGATGTACTAATGTAAAGATAATGCCTGGAAAAACTCTGACTTTTAAATTAATCATTGTTAACCCCTTTAGATTAATGAAGAGTTCTCTTTCCTTTAACTTTATACTTTTCATTTCTCTGCTTCACACTTTCTCATATACATGATCTACACTTTTTCACACTGGACATTTATTTGCTCAACAGTTTTGTTCAGTGTACCCACTCTTTTTTGTTCTATTCATTAGCCTGATCAGTTTAAGCACCCATATTTGTTACTTTTATATGTATTTGTTTAATTGGTTTCTTTTTACAGTCTCTTTCTACCCTTTTTTATATTAAATGCCCATATCTTATATTGTTGTGTGTCTTTGACCAATATTATTCAATGCACGTGTTCATTCTCTTATTGATTGCATTTTCTTACCTTGTTGCTTGTATTCATGTTCTACTTCTTTTCAATTAATTTATTTACTATAATTTACTTTATTTTTCATGTTTTACTGGATAACCTATTAATTTTATTATTATTTTTATCTTTGTATGTCACTTCTCTTAGCTCATTTGTAGCTTAAGAATTTGTTCTCAAGCCTTTGAGCCACATACTATTTATTCTTTTTCTTTCACCTTGACATTTCTATTAATGGTTTAGTTCTCGCTGGAAACCCACAAACTGTTGTTTTTGCATTCATCAATAAAATTATTTTAATTTGGTGAGCTTTTCATCATCATTATCTTTTATTTTATACTTTCTAATTTCATAGCCTACACAATTCTTTTATTGCTAGGACCCACAAGCTTTAGACAGTTTGTCTCTGAAAAATTCTTGAATACCCTTTTCTGGTAATTTAATTGTATTTTTTATGAGTAAGTTGAGATCTTGAAAAATCAACAGTTAAGCAGCTGAGGTGCATTTTAAAAATATAAACTAAATCAGTTGTAAAATATTAATCATGTTATAAAATTAAGGAGTATTTATTCATATTTTGTGTAATGATTGATCTATGTTAGTAAAGTATTGATTACAGTTGAGCTGTTCTTGTTCTTGTCCATACTTTTTTGTCTAATCAGTTTGTTCTTTGAAACAAGTTTGTAATGATTAAGAATTTGATTGGTTAAATGTATATGCCCAGCATAATGAAGTAGATACACAATATCTGAATTTATTAACCTTTCTATTGTCCAGCACTTAACAGTTATTTATCTAAAGATGAATGACCTTTGAAAGATGCAGCAAAAGTCAAAGGAATATTTAAACACACTCCCATGATATCCCAAATTAACAATATGGCTTGTGATCTTACCTTTAAATTTCTTTACCTTGTTTTTAGTAACCTTAAATTGATATATTCAAAGCTGGTTAAATTATTTTATCTTGACTGCCAATGAACTAGACTAGGCGATGGATCCAATCCTTCACGAGACAACTTGTTACTAACTGAAGATGACTATTCTGAGCTCTCTGAAGAGGAATCTGAGAGTGATTTGAGGAAAGATGACACTTGGAATAGCCATGTTAGTCAGAGCTTTTTGTTTTAGGTGCTCTTTTATGTGTGTGTGTGAGTTTTCATGACATGCTTAACTTTTCTGGAGAACAATATAATGGACTTGAGTCAGATTTGATGTAAAATTGCCGTTATATAGGACTAACCAAGTATATGGAGTTTTTTTAGTAGTTTAAAGATTAATCTTTAGCAAAGTGTTTCTTATTACATTACTAATGTTTAATAAATAATAAGATACCTGCTTCACTTTTGGTAGATATGCATTATTTAATTTTTTTTATGTTGTTTAAGTTCCATTGCTTTTCATAATAACAGATGAAAATGTTATTTACTTAATATTTCAGGCCAAAACTCAATTTTAGGATATGACATTTTACTTTATTAAAAAAAAGAGGTCAAGCATTTAAATTTGTTTGTTTATTTTTATCAATTATTTCTTATTTAGTATATATTTCCTTTTATGTAGTGACTCGTTGCTTTCTTCCCCTCTAACACACAAGCTTTGTAATAGCCAAAAAGTGATATATCATTATAACTCAAAAGAGCATGCTTATTTGCAAAAAGTTTATTGAGATATATATATATATATATTGAAAAGAATGATAGAAAGGATGTGTCTTAATTTGCTGTGAAAAATAGTTAAAATTTTAAATCAACATAAAATGAAAATAAATTTGAATTTTTCTAATTGTTTTATAGAATTTTTAGTACAGTAAACATGAATGATCCAATTGCTCATTTACCTAAGAAAAGTTTAATATTAGCGTCAAACTGCAGAAAAATCTCACGTTCAACTAAGAGTTGGTGTTAAATACTCTGCAAAACTTCTGTAAACCAGGCACCCTAAAGAAAGTATAGACAAATCCAATTATTTCTTATTTTGTATCTTTCCACATTGTAATAAACAATTAATGTGAAGCTTTGTTTGGCATTTAAAATTGACAGTTTCTAGTTTCTTACATTGCTTTGAAAAAAATGATGTAATTAATTTGTACTATTGTATAGTAAGAATTTCTTGCTTTAAATAGACAAAAAAATTTTGGATTTTTTTCTTAACCAACAAACATACTAGAATGAAACAGTAACAAGCTCATGAAATTCTGACAAATCTAATTTAAGTTGAGTTGAACCATATCACTATCAGTAAACATGTTGAGTTTCCAGGACATTTCAATACGTGAGATGTTACCAGACTATAGGATAGCACCTGTCTTTCCTTACCTGCTTACTGAAGATACAGGAATAATAAAAGCCTTCTGAGAGCTAAACAGAGACCTGGCTTAGAATTAAAATCCTATCTTTTTATTAAAGGGGTGTAACAAACAACAAGAATCCTGGGAAGCAGGAGTTGTCAAATACCTCTTGACATTTAGGAGCCAAGATAGTAGCTTAACCTAGTGAGGGTAAGAGAGAATTATCCTCCTTGTCCCCAGGGGCATTTATTACCTGATTCTCAGTTTTTTTTTACACGGTAACTTGGCTTTTCTCAACAGCTACTGCCCTCTATATGCACAAATGTTTGCTTTCCACAAGACTTGTGCTCCCATCTGCATCCACTTGTTTGCACATATTACAGCTGCATTGTAGCATGCAACAATCCTCCACCAATAGAAGTGGGATGCACCCTCCTAGCACAGCAGACTCCATCTGTATTGTAGAACTCAATCTTCACTTCTTGATTTGGCACTCAAGTGCAGACATGTTTTAATTTTGCTTGTTTTTACTTTATTTTTTATATTTTGCCTAATTTGTTCAACAAATTACTTAATTGTTTTACATTCTGCATTATTCTGTGATAATTTGTAGATTGTATTTGTTTTATCCACTCAAGTTTTTTTTTTTTTCAATTATCAAAATAATGTTACAACTACTACTACTATTGTAACACTTGCCACTGTACAACAACTATTATTTCTGGGGATTTGGGAGTCTGGTCTTTCAGTGAGGTGGTTTCAGCCTTATTTGCCACAAATTGGATTCTACCATGCAATCTAGTATGGCTCTTGTGTCAGGGCCAGTTGTGTATCTGGTTTGTATGATGTCATTTTGGACAGCCTTTTATCACCTCCTTCCTTTGCCGTACAGTCAAGGGTTATGCCATGAATGTTCCCATATTTTTATTGGCCATTCCTTACCATTATTTCCTAGGTATGATACCTTTTGTCTGTTTGTTAGTTTACCATTCCTACATGGTTTTCAGGGTTCGTGCATTTTTCCTGAACTCTCAAATCTTTGAGTCTTTCTTTCAGGCATGGGGTCACACCCTGAAAACATAGTGTACTTTTCCCAGGCCCAGTCCTACCTTTTGCATCTACCCTTCCTTCAGTGCCTTTTTCTATGCACCATTGTGGGGTTTTCATGGAATACTTGTACCTTCCCTTTCTTCATCTCCCTTTCTACTTGTATACTTGGCTCTTCCATTGGTGAGATCTTCTTGGTGGTGTACATTGTTTACTTCAATTCTTCCTTGCTCATTATTTGATGCCATATTGGTGACTGTCAGTGTTTGGGAGTTGTCTTACCTTGTTGTAGTCCAAAGTGGTACCATCTCATTGATTTTTCCTCCTTGTTTTTCGACATTACCAATGCTATATGGCTCTGTCCTGTGTCATGCACTTCTCCTTTCGCCCCTTTCCCAGTGCCTCTTAATCATTATGTTGGGGTTATTCCCCATTCCTTTTTTTTACCAATTTCCTCATTTGGCTGTTTCAGTCATGGAACTTCAATCTTATCCATTGCTGGATATCACGCAGCCTTATCACACACCTTCCATTTTTCCTAGTACAGTCTTGTGTTTACCTCCCCTATTGATTCTTTGTTGTTACATTATTTCCAGATTCATAGATCTCATCAAGCAGTCCTTTTTGGAATGGAAACTCCATTTGGTTCTTCACTGCCTTACTTCACCTCTGTTTGAACCTTTGTCCTTCTGTTCTTTGTTTCACTTGTCTCTTGAGTCCTACTTCCATTGTTGGACTGATATGTTTGCCATTGATGTCTCCTGCACTCCATACCTTTCCACATATGTTCTCCCTTAACTGGGTTGATCTTTCCTTTCCCAGACTTTGGCAGTGAAGGTAATTCTCCTTTTTGCTGATTTTGCTTCATTCCTTCTCCCATCTTTGTTCCTTGTCTGATCCAGCTAGGTTCCTATGCCCCATACATGCTTTTCATTGTTGCATTTTCTGCATGGCTTCCTTCTGTGGTTCTCATTTCCGCTTTTCATCCCCTGGCAACATTGCTCTGTTTGTGATCTTTCTTCTTCAACACTTACCAATAGGGTTCAGTGTTTGATTTGATTGCCTTATTCCTCCTTGTCTTCTTCTTCCAGGTGTCATCACATCAGATCAGGCACCTTACTTTTTCTATGGCATCTCTCACCTCCATTGTTCATTGGAGGAAATTCTTCAAGCGGGCATGCAGACTATTACTCATACATTCATCTCCTATTTGCATTGGGTTGCTGTTCTTCATCGAGATACCTTCTTCCACCTGTCCTCATCCTTCAAACTTTGCCGAGCCTGTGACTGGGTAGTTACCTTTTTATATACTTCCTTTCAGGGGCATGTTCCCTGCTCTGTGGTGAGTGTTACCTGTCCAGGTGCACTTAATGCATCACAACTCCACACTATACAGCGATGATGCTATCATAAAATACTATATTCCCATGGACAATAACATGCACTGTTGAGATAGGAGGGGTTCCACAAGATTGCTTGTAGGTTATTCCTTGTGATATATTTGCTTCATAAATATGCCCATTCCGAACTGTACTAACCCATAGACTTACATGGGTAAAACAGAAGGGAATAGCTACCCATCCCTGTCGTCCCTTAGATTTAATAAATTTAGGGGTGGTCTGCTTTTTAAAATAAGGTTTTTGTGATCACCTGTTTGCACTGTCTCCAATGTTGGTATTCTTCTGGACTCTTCTCTGTGTTTTATCCCCTCCCCTTGTTCTTCAAGTGGAGTATGGGAGCCCTTGCCATTTTCCAGTTTCAAGTCACTGGGGTGGTGGGCCATGGAGGTATCCTCCTGAATATGATCTAACACAAATAACTAAATATAGAACTACATTCAGTTAAGAGTAGGGTGGTAGTGTTCTGCTGGTGTAGATGATGTTGCACCCAGCTTCTGTGACTATCTGGATTATGAGGTTTTATATCATTTATAGGAGTGATCCATTGCTGTACAGTCCTGTCCAAAGGGATGAGGTTGCACATGTACACTAATAAAGATGCTCCATCCCTGTTTGGTGGGCTCTGAGGATTGATGTTGCGGTCAGCTTTTGTGACTATCTCGAAAGGTGAGTTTGCATATCATTTATAGAGGTAATCCACTTCCATTTGGTGGCAACCAGAAGTGTGAGGGGATGATGTTGCATATGACTGATAATAGATATGCTCCATCTCTGTACTGTGGGCTCTGAGAATTGATGTTGTGTCTGGCTTCCATGACTATCCAGAGGGTGCAGTTGGATATGATTTTAGGGGGCAACCACTTCCATGTGGTGGTACCTAGAAGTTTGTGATGCACTCCAGTGCTGTACAGTTTTGTCCGAGGAGATGATGTTGCTTTGGAATTTATTCATCACATTGCAGTTCACCCCTTCGATTGGAATCTCTCATCCTACCATCATATGGATGTCTGTTCCTGGTAGCTGAATTGAGATTTCGAGCAGGACCAATCAACATATGTCCTCATACGTGTTGCTTGTTACTACTGTAATTCGGATGTCGGGCTCCTGAATGTATGGTTAGTTGTGGATTGCACACATGTGCCCATTTTGCAGATCATTTCCCACAGTATATATTTCCATTCTATGGAACTTGAAGTAAAGGGGGTGTGGACCCATGGATTGTAGGTTATATTCCAGATACCACTTTGTTTTGGACTGGATTTGACTGACCATGTATGGGTTCCCGTGCCCTATCTACTCTACACCTTGCAGCTCATCCAGTTTCATATTCCCCACATTACTGTCTGTAGAGGATTCATCTACAGCTTCTCTTCATCGGGAACAAGAGTATACTCTTCTGTGGTTTAAATTTCAGTCCAGCCATTTTCTCTCCTCTTTTGGTTGTGCTCCTCCCTTTTTTCTGTTTGTGCAACACCTCTTTGCATACAGGGCAAAGAGGATACCTGGTACAGAAATGGTGCAATCTCCCACAGATGATTCTTTATAAAGAGGATCATCACTATAGGGTAGTCTGGATACTTTCAAAGGGTGCTTCTTTATATTCCTCACACTGGTCCCTCCAACTATTCAGTGTGGGATTCTACCTATATATATATATATATATATATATATATGAGCAGAGGTAATGTAACATATAATTTTCCTATACTGAAAATATATTTCTGGTAGATACTTACCTCCTTTCCCACTTCCTACCCTTCCTTGCCCACTGAAAACTGGAGCTTCCTTTTTGCATAAACTTGAAGTGATAGTTTGGTAGAATTGAATAGAGGGAGCCACATGCATCAGGAGATTATATGCACTCCTGTTTGTGGAGAATTGTTGCCTGATAATTTTGCATATGAGACACAGTGTAACCATGATAATTGTGTGGCAGGGGAAATTTTTTTTCATATTGAGCTATATATGTGAGAAGAGGTAAGTACCTGTTAGATGAATGTTTTCAGTATAGGAAAAAATTATACATTTTTTTAATGTACATTGTTTACATACAATAAAGTTATTTAAGTCATCAGAATATTCTGCCATCACCTACTGCACAGTTGATTATAATAAGCTATGACTATGTCATAAATTTTGAAGGATATAATACTGTGCAACTGAAATAAAGTCTTGCTAGTATAGAAATTCTTGATTTTATATTACTTGCTAAACACATAGAAATAGATAAGAACTAATGGGTGCCCACTGAAATATTTTCAAGAGGGGTAAAACATGTATGTAGGGGATCAGCTTTTACAGTGTAAGTCAACAGACTGTAAAAATATGTGTTATGTATGCTTAAATACTAACATTAATTTACAATTTTAATAAAAATTACTAAAAATATTTAGTTTAACTATGAGTTAAGTTTACATCATTATATATGCACACTTTTTGGTGAAATGTGACAAAGCAAATTTTCCCTCTTGCCCTTTCTTGCAAGCACTCATGAATGGATGTAAAAACTGTTAAATGCACTAGAACGTATCTCAGAGTAATCTAAAATTTTGAAATTTTAAAGGGGAGCATGCTCCTTGACAGCCATTAGAAAGTTAATGTGTGCAGTGCTCTTTGGCACTTGTTTAAAACATTTGGATGGACAATTTACAGACCCTGGTTAATATCCTGTAAAGAAACTGTCACCTGTATTGATGGTTAATAATGTTGTCAGTATGCTAGTTGAGGAGTTTACAGAGACCACTAAATTAACTGAAGAATTTTTAACTGAACTCTTTTTTTTTTTTTTCCAGGCCATGAATTTCATATTATAAAGGTCACACTTAATCATGTACAGTAAAACAAGAAAAGCACTTAAACCATGTCAAATGAAAAAGCTTACAATTAATTTGAATGTTTTGATTATCATAAAGGTAATAACTTTAATTTTTTCTTTCTTCTAGGCTGGGGGTCATGGCAAGAAGATGGGAACAATGGAACACAGTAAACATGAAAGTTAATGAGAAGTGGGCATCTTGTGGTGTCTAAATCTGTATAACCTTGATTGCATATGTAGCAAATTTTCCATGTCACCTCACAGTGGTGGAGCTGCAGTGGTCACTGATATAAGAGGTTGCCAACTTACCGAATCTCTTGTAGTCTTGCTTAAAAATGTATTAATATATTTAAATTCTATTACTGATCTTTATTAGCTTGCATATGAGAAAGGTTTCTTGATTTACAAGGTTAATCAAAACTAGAACAACATTAGCTTGTATTATGGGTAGTGCATGATACTTTTTTATTTGCATCTATTGTTTGTGTATATAATTTGTATACAGTTTGTACATAATGTTTTACAAAGAGTACTACACATATCTTAATATATTTAAAGATCTTTATTAATTTTTGTTCTTACATTTTTATTTGAATTGGTTCTGATTAGGAATTATCTTATAGACAAAAAAGTTTAGACAGAAAAAAAATAGATGTTTTCAGAACATTACTCGTAAGTTGCAATATACAAAAACTTGTTTGAAATTCTTTGAAAAGCATTTGTTTTAATTCAGAATAAGGTGTAGTATCAGATTAATATTAGAAGCAAAATAAAGTTGATTATGACTCCTCAGTACATTGCATAAACTGTGAAGCATTGAGTAAGAAAATTGCTTAATAAAAAAACAAGATAAAAGTAGTTCCTCTAATTCCAATTAATCTTTGAAAAGTAAGAATGTATTGCATAGTCTTTTGAACTTTAGTTTTATTAGGTTTTGTGATAACCTATTTGATAAAAAAAAAAAAACATAAATAGTAAGTAACTCTTTGTATTCCTTAGTTGTGATATTGTTGGCAACAAATTATGGGAAAAAACATTTTAAATAATTTAGTAGATTTATTATGAAAGCAATCTTGGTAGAATTGGTAGTTCTTTTGATATTTAAAACTGTAATCTGGTTGACCACTTTATAGAAAATAAGTTTGAAGCTTACTCTGAGGATTGTTACACATTACCAGCAATACAGAATTTTACACTGTGTTCATTCGAAATGGTAGTTTTATTCTAAGAAAGTTTTGCAAAAAGAGTATAGTTGAAATTCCATGTAATTTTAATATTAATGTATTTTTGAATCTCAAACTTGTCATATCATTGTAATTGTGAACAATGTGAGAATACTTTCAAAGTTATTCTAGTAGCTTTTTATTATTTGTGATACAGCATACATTGATATAATAATGTATACCTTAATTTTGATTAGTAATATTTTGCTCTTTGTATTAGTATGGTAATGTACAGTAGAAAATATTTCTCAAAGAGCAGAGTAAATGTATTCTAGACAATATAATGTTACATTTATAGGAGTTTGAAATATTTATAAGTTTGTTTTATATAATTTCTAAAAAGCTATTCGATTTTTTTTTTCAATCGTTAGCTGAAAAACTTTGTAAAAATATTATCCAGGCAAAAGATTTTGACGTAGAATATAAGTTCAATTTGTATGTTTCTTGAAATAGAATTTTGGAAAACAGATTTTTAATAATTTTACTATGTTAGTAAAAGTGATTATTTCAAACTCTTTTTTTTTGTGTGTGTGTTCTGAAGCTATTGTTGTGTACAGAATTATCTGTGATTGCCTCATTTTTACAACATTTAAACTGAATTGATAAGCAAAACTTTAAATTGTTATGCCTGAATATTTTATTTTACTGCTGTCTAAATAATCTGGACATTAAGATAATTTATTTACTACACACTGTTTAGCTCAATAATATAGTCTAGTGATGCTTCAAGATGCAGAATTTTGTTTTTTGTGCCAAATTTGTCACATCACTCCTTTTTTACAAGAAATGCTCAATTTGGAATATAATTAGTTTTTAAGTATGCTGTATGCTTTTATAGTGTGCATTCAATAAACTTGTTAACAATCAGAAAAATATATAAGAATATACAAAGTGTTTAAATTGGTAATAATAATTAGCTGAAGCTAAAATGATACACATAAATATGTTTGTACTTATGTGTGAAGAGTAGTTTTATAGTTGTCTCAAGAAATAATTGATGAGACATATTCTATCTCTTAGAAGCAGAAGCTTTCAGATGGCTGATTTTTGTTGAGAAAAAAATCTCATTGTACACTTCTCAAAATAATTAAAGAATTATTTTAATTTGAATATTGCTCAACATTTTGGTGCACTGGATGTGTTGTTAGCACCATTGCAGCTAGCTGTTTTGTTCCTGGCTCTGAACAGAATGCATCTCAATGGCCATCTGGCACACAAACTTATTTTGTGGAAGTCTGTACATTTCTGTAGCATTCAGTTGTGGCTACAAACATCTGATTGAATCTTGGAGCCTGCACCAAATGAGTGCAGTGAGCCAGAATGGGCACAGATATTAATCATCTACTTGTGTTATGGATGATAATGTACCTATTTTGAGTGCCTGAACAACTGTACCATAAGTTTAGAAACAGTTTCATATTATGCTAGCTATGCTTTGAGAAACTTGAGTCAGTTTGCAACAACAATTGGCTGTATGTGACCTATTTCCATTTGTCCATTAACTCTCCATGTAAATAAAATATTCAGATGCCTTCTCTGGAGTCCAGCCATAGTTCATGAAAAAGTTTCAGTATTTTAATCTCAGTCATTCACTTCAAAGTAATGAATGAGACACAATTGTATGAGACCACTGTATATGGTATACACTAAATGACTAATAATTAACATTTCAGACTGCATAACTGATCATGAAATATCTTATTTGCATAACAGAGGTTTGAGAGGAGGTGGTAACCTAACAGTGGTTTTTGTCTTATACAAAATATTACAAAATATGATGATCCTTTAATTGTTTTGAGCAGTATGTATGACATATTAAACATTAGAAATTTGTTTAGCGTTGTTTTTAAATTTAAAGAATTGTCTTTTGTTGCATATTGCTCTGCTAAAAAATTGTTATTCAGCTTTTTTCAAATAAGGATTTTTTTTCTGAGGTTGATTTTTAAGTGCAAGACAACCTTGAGACCATTTGTTAATGTACCTGGCAAGTTGTATACCTTTTTTGCATGTAGAAATACTATATTTGTTTTATTATATATGTATATAATGTTTTGACTTGTGTTCATTTTATATCAGTCTGATTTTTCTTAATTTATTTTGGGGGGATATGTGTATAATTTTGTTCTACATTGAATTTTGTAACCTTTTAAAATGTGCATTTTATGCTTATTACAATTGTTATTTTTTTATTATAGAGCTTCAAAAATGTAGTCATAAAGGTCTAAACTTTGACCAAAAATAAGAATATACATACATACATACAATGTTGAATGAGACAACAGAAATATGTTCAACAGTTTCATGTGTTTCAATTTAGGCCTTCAAGCAGTCCTATATACCCTATAGATTATTATCTTTTTTGTTTCAACTTCTTGATATATTTTTGATAAAATAATTTAAATGCTGTATCCTACTTCATATTGTTTTAACACAAAGTGATCATAAGGCCCAGTTATTTGTCTCTTGAGTTTTTTTCATGCAGCATAAAGCATGCTTAACTATTCCAATTGGAAATGTCTGAATCTTGGAGTTAGAAAATGTGAAAACTTTATGTTTTCTGTAACTAGTCTTACGTATTGTTATTTGCTAAACCTTATCAAGCAGAGTTTGATGTTTGTTATCAACATCAGATCACCAAAGCCACCCAGATTTGACCTTATGTCCACACCCAATACCCCTAAAATGTGTCCAATTTGGCTTAATAATTAATATTGGTATATAATCTTTATAGATATTCCTCTATACTTTCCAAAGACCACTTGGAGGCCTCTTAATTATATTGAAGCTTATAATGTTATTTTAACACAGTATTACATATGCTAATTGAATGCCAAAATAAGTCTTTTTTTTTTATACTCATATTTAAGCATTATAGCTTTGCTGTGCAAGCTAGTTTCAAATGTAACTTTTGTGTTTAGTACTAATTGGTATTTATTGTTTTAGGAGATACAATGTGTTGATCAAACCCAATAATTTCAAGGTTTCTCAGTGTGTTTGATTCCATCCTTTGGCAAACTGGAGGTGTGTCTGTATATCAAAGCTTTCTCTGTATGTGTAGTTATACATAGCAAATATGTAGATACATATCTATATATATACAGGGACTTGTGTTGTCTCAGGAAAAGTGAATTGAAGCAACTGGTCATTGGTTTTGCTTCATGTCACATGCTAAGATGTTATAATGAAATAAAAAATTCACTATAAAAATATAAATGTGTATATTTTCTTTCAATGTTTTTGAATTTGAAAACTACACTGAGTAAGAGAAAGATATAGCCAGTTATGTTTTACCTTAATTGATTTTAAGCTATTTTAGGTAACCATACTAAGAAAACTTGTACACACACACATATATATATATACACTATTTCTAATTAATTATATTAATAAATCCTTTCAGCTTTTGTTTCAAATGAAATATGTAAGTATTTTTAAATGGTAAGTTGAAAAAAATTAAAAACACTGAAATTGTCCAACGAAAGATTCATGCCTGTTACTTACTGTAAAGCCATGTTTGTAAGAGCACGAATTGATATAACAAAAAATTATGTTCTGTTCAATTTACAGTAAAAAAATTGATGTACTTCTGCATGGTCCCCAAAAGTGCTCTGTTTCAAGAGTAAATAAAACCCAAAATTAAGAGATAAATAATTTTATTTCTTGCTTGTGAAGTTCATGTGTCATGCTGTGTTGTAGCCTACAAAGTGCATAATTATTCTCGTGGTTCATGGCATTTGTACATTATACTGATATCACAACAGTACAAATTGCAGCTTTAAGCATCCCTTATGTAACATCATTTTAGTATCTACTGACTGACAATACACTACTGTATAATGGTTAAAACAGGTGACCCCTTGAGGCAGCCTTCAGCCTCTTTTGGGGAAATTAATCTATTTACATTGAATATATAAGGTCAGGAAAATTCTGGCAAAAAAAAAAGCCCACTTATTCCAATCAAACTGTGGTTTATATATATATATAACATTCTGACCACAACTATGTTTGTTGTATCCCAGCTAGCCTGTTCAGTTCTAGTATTAAGTAAAACATGTCAGCAATGGATATGGCTGAGTGGTGTGCTTGATGTAATACTATAAACTCTACAATGTACAAAAATAATTTATGATTTTTATGACATTCCAAGAACCACAAAAGGTTTGTATCTGTGAGAGATACTTTGATGTAAATGTAATAATATTTTATTAATGAATGTTTAAAGTTAGAATTTAATTTGTTCCTTTCTTAGTGTAGCTATGCAATACGCAATCTTGAAGCAAGTCATACTACATTGATAAAACTGCTAAATTTTATCATTACCACAATAAATATACATATTTTCATATATTTTTGATTTTAAAATACTAAGTGTAAGTTAGATATACACTAACGTGAGGTTTATCGTACATTAGAAGTTAAGTTCAACTGTATTAATGTTTGTTTTTGTAACATCTGAAGCTAGTTAAGTGTTAATATTTTTAAGTTCTGTTATTTGTTATTGAAATTCACGTGTAAACAGTTTTCCTACTTAAATACTTTATTCATGAGTGGCTGTGTAAAATAGGTTTTTTCCACACAAACACAAAGTTCTATAAACCGTATTTTTCGGAATATAAGATGCACCGGTATACAAGACGCACCTTTATTTTGAAGACAAAGTTTTTTGGGAAAAAAGCTACAGTCGCATTTGAAAT